AAATTCTCTTCCAACAAATCTTCAACAATTTTCTCTGTGTTTTTATTTGTCTTTTCCTGTTCTGGAATTCTGATTACATTAGGTTACTCCTCTTGATGGTATCCCATATGAATATTAGGCTTTCTTCATTTTGTTCTGATCTTTTTTCTGATTGATCCTTTCCAAAGAAGTATTGAGGTATTTGTCTTCAATCTCAATAATTATTTCTTCCATTGATTTGATTCTACTTCTTTCCCCATTTGATGTGTATCAATTTCTGACAATTTAGTATTAATCTTCTGGATTTCTATCTGTAGATTTTGTATCATTTCTAATTTTTCATTCATGTTGTAATTTTGTTCTTGTACTGTCTTCCAAAATTTTTCTGGGGTTTTGTCTGTATTTTCCTTGATCTCTCTCTCAGTCCATTGAAGATACCTAAACATAATTATTTTGAATTCCTTTTCAGGGAGTTCCAATGCTGCGTCTTCCTCAGGGATGTATCCTGGCCCCTTGTTTCTACTCCTTTATCTTGCTTCTTTATATGTACTGTGATGGTCTGTTGTCTTGGAGACATTGTGACATTGTTGTATTTATATTTAATGGGTGATTGCATGTTGGAGCTCTGGTGGCATAGTGCCTAAGATATTTGACTGCTAACCAGAAGGCTGGTGGTTCAAACCCACCAGACACTCCTCGGAAGGAAGATTGAACAATCTACTTTTGTAGTGATACTGCCTTGGAAACCGAAGGAGGGGTTGCTATGAGTCAGATCCCACTCGACAGCAGTGAGTGAGTGAGTTATTGAGTGTATGTTGGAGTGATTCACCCAAGATTTCCATTTTCTTTGTTTTGTTTGGATTTATCTGAGTAAGCAGGGTACTTTTCTTCTCTATTCACTTATTGGCAGCACTTATGCCCTCACGACCTGTCTCCTGATGTGTGTAATAGAGAATGAGAGTGGGTGCACAGATCTCTGTTAGCTGTTTGTGAGTCAGGTTCATATTGGCTGTTGTGTGTCATTGGCCAGTTAATGCAGAAGCAAGTGGTTGCCCTCACTCAGTAGTTGGGGCTGCTGTAGGTGTGGGAATGGTTGGGTCATATGGGCATGGGTGCTGTCTCCCACTCAGTTAGATAGAAACAATTTAAAAAAACTACCAAAATTATAATTGAGGACAAAAAACACATACTGCATAAACACATAGGAACAATCACCAAAAGAGAAGGGGGAAGGCAATAAATGAGACAAAATATTTAAAGAAATACTTTCAAAAGACAAAAGAAATATAAATAGAAAAAAGGAAAAAGTAATCCACAATATCTGGGGGCAGGGAAGCAAATAAAAGAAAAGAGGTAGAGTAAGAGAATAATGAGGAAAAAATGAAAAATATACAAAAAGAATAAGAAGGGATGAGAGGGCCCACAAGAAAGAAAAAAAAAATAGGAGCCAGGAAAAGGGAAGAGAATCAAATGTCCAAAACTAGAACCTGAGATGGGGCGGGGGG